GTGGTTCACTTCCAAATCTTCTCTATGTCGTCACCTATAAAAAGGTAAATATATTGTTACTATATTAGTTGTCTCTCAAAACCATACACGTTTTGTTGGCAACGCTTTTGCTATTATTTAAAATGGTGAAGATGTTCAGATGTTCCGTGTCTAATGAACCACCATGAAGAAACGTGAAATTTAATTTTAACGTATATGGTATTTTTATGAGATCAATAAATAGAAATTTATATAATATATAACTTAAAGAATATAACAGATGATGTTGAAAAATATAAGAAACCATTCTAGGAAGCAAAATTTTCGACGACTTATACATATTTAAACTTGAGATTGCATTTGTGTAAGTAAACTGGACTGATTTTTATGAAAAAGATATCGATAAATGAATTTAATCAGTGTTATGCATAATTCAATACAGTAATGAATTTTAAGAATAATAGTATCATTTTCATCTCATTATTCGCTCATAAATTTAATTTGTCAAATCATGGAGGGAGCAAAGAAAAATACACACCATTTTTATGATAATAAGAGTAAAGTGTACTTATCCTAAAACTAATATAATTTGAGATATAGAGCTACAGAAAATCGTACAAGAAGATGACCACTCTGTGAGTGATTAATATTTGATGTGTTCCTATTCATATTTTCCCCGAATACAATTTTCTTAAACAAAACCTAAGCAGACTTATAAAATGACTTGCTACGATAATAGAATCGTGAAATTTTACCGAACGGTCGTTGAGAAAATTTCAATTACGACCGTGTTTCTATTTAGTGGAAACAAAATTTAACGTAAATGTTCTGAAAGAGGCAGCAGCAATTTCTACGCGTTAGACATCGTGCATTTTCGCTACTCATCGGACGGAAGTTCGGGATGACGACCGAAACTTAGCTTCAGCCTTCCGAAACTTTCCGTGAAGCAGCTCCTATCCCCGAGTCGTTATCGTCATTCCTCTTTTATTACAAGTGACGTTTAGTTGTTGTTGTTACGTGTTGATACGTTAGAAGAATGATTATCATACACGTAGAAAACGCGAGATGCATGGAACGCGGTGAAACGTAGAAGCTTGGAATATTGTATTATTTGGTTATCAATTTTCTTTTAATGTATTTAGATGAAGTAGACAAGCAGTAGTGTAGTTCGTATATTAAGAGTAACATTGTCCTCGACATTTCTTAGACGTGAAAATACGTTCGTCTTAAATTGAGACAATTCTAAAGTGGAAATGGACAACAATTAAAAGAAAAATTATATACTGTTAGAGTGGTTCTTACTTCAAGAGGTTAAAACATTTTATGAAGTTTTTTTTTATTCGTACTCCAAACTTATAATACTTGGTAAGAAACTAATTGCTACCAAACTTCCAAATGATTCGATAAAGGATAAAGTTTTAAAATTTGAGTGATTTCGCTTTACTCGAACGCATTAACAAATATACTGATCTCTCAATAAATATAAAAACCTTGGGGCCGATCTTTGCATTAATGGAAGGTATACGAGATACGAAATTCTATACTATCAGCACTTCGGCGTAAAAAATAAATGAAAGGGGCAGTTGTCTAAATTTAAAAGCTACCTCATTGTGTACAATATTGTCGGATTTGCAAGAAAACAACTTTTAGCCTTAATATAAATGTATTTCAAATACTCTCCTCGCGATGTTTTTTCTGCAACTGCTGCTATACTTAAACTAAACTCTCGTTCAAAAGAACACGCACGCATTCATCAGAAAACATAAACCATTCACGCATCTATGCAGAACGCTGCTCTACGATTCACTCTGATATAAACATTTGCCATTCACGCCCCAGCACGACTCACTCTTATCGCTCTTACTCCACGCAGTCACTCCTTTTTTTTGTACGTGGGGAAATCCTCATGAACATTCACGGACCCGCCCAAAGGGAGGGCCGGCAGGTAGTGCCGGACTCTTACCAGCTAAAATCCCACGATGATCATCCTCAGGCGCCTGGCGGGGGACCGGGAACTCTGCTGAGACATCACAGTGCCCCCCCGCCGCGCCGTGCCTTTTCAGGCTCCTCCCGATGGGAGGCATACCTCCCGTATTCCCACTCAACCGCAGGCGTCTGGTCACCAGAACCCGCGGACCCGTAACATGGGACTAAGCCGTCGGCCGCAGGACTCACCCGCGGCCAACTGGGCAACCTACGGACTTAGGTATAACCCGCGACAAACATCCCCTGTACCCAGCCCACACACGCAACACATTCATACCGGTGTTTGGTCCGCGGGAGCTTTCGCTCTGACCTTCGAGATGCCATGCGAGGATCCCGCTACCAGCTTTCTTAGGTCGATGACCTCATTATCGCATTCCATCCCAGCGGTTGCCCCTATCCCCCACTTGGGTTAGTGGTTGACCTTCCTTACCACTTAGACAACCAAACGGGTGCGTGGGCCACGCAGTGATCCTTTTTTCTTTTTTTGTACGTGGGGAAATCCTCATGGAAACCCACGGGTCCATCCGAAGGGAGGGTCGGCAGGTAATGCCGGACACTTACCAGCTAAAGCCCCAAAGTAACCATCCTCAGGCGCCTGGCGAGGGACCGGGAACTCTAGTGAGCCATCACAGAGTTCTCCGCCGCATCGCGCCGTGCCTTTTCAGGCCCCTCTCGCTGGAGACACTCCTCCCACCGCATTTCCATTCAACTGCAGGCATTTGGTCACCAACGCCCGCATCCCCGTGACATGGGACTAAGCCGCGGGGCCACGTTGGCCACAGGACTTACCCGCGGCCAGTTGGCCAACCTGCGGCCTTAAGAGGTCTGGTAACTCTAGAATATTGAAAAATTCGATTTTTTTTTTTTGGCATAAATAATAGTTTGAAGCCTTAAAAACATTATGCGAAAGGTCTCAGTGTCGGAACAATGTTTTTGCTGAAAATTTAGAGCCCCAAACGATGACGTGTATCTGCGTCCTGTAGCGCGTTAAGGCGTACATAATTGGGAGGGTACGACTTTAAATGCATTTTCCTCGGAACTGTTTTACAAAACGGTGTGCAGTATTACTCCAGTTCTAATTAATCAATTGCTTTGAAAATTTACAGTTATCTTTACTATTATATTTATTAGGCATTGACGATCCGTTTTTTTCAAAATTGTCAAATAATTCTGCAAAATATTCGTAATAAGAACTCGTTTTTGTGTTAAAATTCGATTTTAAGTTTCAAATATCTGCCACATTGTTCATTTTTATATAAATTGAAATGTCTCATCGTCAATGCCTAGGACATTTATCATAGTTAATGGAATATTTCGGTTTTTGTTGTACATAACAACCATTTTACCACAATCCTGCACACCAGCCTCGTTTTCCATACCGCTAGAGGTACCAGACCCCTTAAGTATAACTCACGACAAACATCCCCTGTCCCCAGCCCTCTCACACACACATTCATGCTGGTGTTTGGTCCGCGGGAGCTTTTGCCCCGACCTCTGGGATGCCATGCGAGGACGAGGCTCATCCCCGCATGGTTCACGCAGTCACCCAAGATGCACCCAAACGCAGTTCGCGCAACATATTTAACAAATCATTCGTTTCCATTTATTCATGCACATATATATACCATTCACACACTTATTCCGTAATAATGTCCTACAATATTGATTCAATTACTTTTATTAATATTTGAAACTTTTACTACCGTATTTTCATTTAATTAAAATAAGACTAAACGTGACATAATTTGGATAATATTACAGTAGTGTCCTCTTATATAACATTGTGTCAGGATCGTGCTATGCCATATATCCGGAGAAGTGAAAAGAAAAGATAATATACATAGATAACTTAACAAAGATGGATAACTTCGAGGCTCATCTCGAGCGAGCAGTTCTGGAAAATGGTAGGGATAACTCAATGCCATATAAGCTGACACCACTACTGCACTTATACAGAATGTCCCAGGTGTGAGTTAGGTTCAAACTTTGTCAGAATATTCTATGTTTCTAAATACGACAAAAATTTGTATAAACATAGGATATTTAAAACTTTTTTAAAAAGTTATAACACAAAAAATTAATAATGCGTTCAATGATGTGAAATAGAATAGAAATGAAATTTGCACATTTATAAATTCGATTTTTGATCGCTGCCAATGATATATTACGAACGGTAGTCATTTTGAAATAGAGTATTAATTATCTCTAGAAGTAATAATGACAGGTAGTAAATACATTGATCTATTTAAGCCGATGCTCGCAGTAACGACAAATCGGTTACTATTTCTCTTGTATATCCGTATTTGTGTTGTAATTTTGTAATAAAGCTTTAAATGACTTTATTTATGAATATGTTTTTCTTATTCTGTGCCATATAATATACTGACAAAGTTTGAACATTAAAACCTGAAACACTCTGTATAGCAAGTGATAAGAATTTACCATATATCATTTATTAAAGAAGTAAATATAATCCAAATTATGTCGTGTTTAGTCTCATTTTATTCAAAAAAATTTCACAAATAAGAAATAATCAAATTTTCCTATATAAAAAGTATTTTAGTCTGACTTCAACAACTGTAGTACCTTGAATATGTACTACACTGTTGAAAGTCATAACAAATGCTACTATTGTACTAAGAAATTCTACATTTATATAAATAGTTGTTAATTATTCAATAATAGTTATTATGTCCGAAATTCATGTGAAATCACAGAAATTTCAAAATTTTAACTCATATAAATCTGTTTCCGTTGTTCGAATATTTTAATATTTGGTAGAAATTATTTTTTTACCAAGTGTAATAATAATTTCAGGGACAGTGTAACAAAAATCAAAAATTGGAAAGTAAAAACCATCCTGTTCTCTTATATATTTATGATGCATCGAATTCTGTTAGAATTACCTTCGAAAAGTTGATTCAGACTTACAACGAGTGCAACGTACGCTGGTTCTACATTCGTTTCGATGAAACGCATTTTCTATTTTTGATCGATGCAGAAATTTCTCTGCACCCTTTGAATTCTTATCGCAGGGCCGTGTCAACTCGCATCGTGGCTGGGATGTGGTGGTTCTTCACTTTGATCATGATTTCATCGTACACTGCCAACTTGGCCGCGTTCCTCACCGTGGAAAGGATGGATTCGCCGATCGAGGGAGCCGAGGATCTTGCAAAGCAGACGAAAATCAAATACGGGGCTCTCAAAGGAGGCAGCACCGCAGCCTTTTTCAGGGTAAGATCGCATGAATATCTTATGAATTTTGTACAAACATTGGCGTAATCGCTTTATAGAGTTTCATATGCTATCTTCAAAGTATTATAGTATAAATTACGCATCGATGAAAGCCAAATAGTAGCATGGTGCAGTAAACCAATTGGGGAGTAAATATAATATAGTATAACAAAATAGTTGCGATTTCTTGACACCGATGTCTGATTAATAATACTATTATAAAATTTTGTCGATGTTCCAAATTTTTAAAAATTGCACAAGTTTACCAAGTTTTTGAGCCAATAAGAGGAGTTGAAAGTTGTAATCCTTTTGGTTGTAAAAACAATTCAAAATGAATACTTATTTTAATCATCTCGTCAGAACAACAAATAATATCGAAATTGAACAATATGAGAATAAACATAAATTGGGAAATAAAATTTAATCACTTTTTCTCATTGTGATTTATTAATTATACTCTCTAGTAATTTCAAATTGTGCATATAAATATAACAATAGGGGAAAAATATTGTTTTATAAGGTGAATGTACCAATTATTGGACGATTAATCGAAATAGAAACTATTACTATCAATCAGATTTTTAGTTCAGTTGATTTGATAAGGCAGATTATCTATTATCCATATCCATTTGTTACCGAATATATATGTATATGTATATGTATGTATATTATGTACATATATTATACATATATGTATACAGGGTGTTCGGCCACTCCTGGGTAAAATTTTATATGGGAATTCTAGAGGCCAAAATAGAACGAAAATCAAGAATCCCAATTTGTTAATGGAGGTTTCGTTAAAAAGTTATTAACAATTAAATTCAACAATTTCAAATCGTTCTGGAAAAATTATTTTCGGTTGCGGGGGTCAATTACAATCATTTTTGGTGAATACACATACCTCCGAAATCCTACCCACTTTCTAGAAAAAATTTCGAGGTGTGAAATTTTTCGACGGAAAAAAAAATTTCAAGTCGTTTTGGAAAAATTATTTTCGGTTGCGGGGGTCAATTACAATCATTTTTGGTGAATAGACATACCCCCGAAATCTTGCGCATTTTGCAGAAAAAAATTCAGTACGAGCGGAAGTTTAGACGTTAATAACTTTTTAACAAAGCCTCCATCAACAAATTGATATTCTTGATTTTGGTCTTATTTTGGCCTCTAGAATCCATCATTAAAATTTTTCCCAGGGGCGGCCGAACATCCTGTATATACAAATGCCACTATTGTACAAGGGAAGCCCAGGTACGCGAAGCCGAGCACGTGTGGGCCATCCGACAGTCCGTTAGGGTTGCAACCACTCGACACTGCCTTCGCTGACCAAGTTTATGATACTTTGTTTGCTTGATGAAACTCTAATTTTTGCCCATGCTGGCCTTAACTAAAATGCGATCGCTGTCATAAACCTGGCCAACTCACCGAAGTCTAGACAACATTCAACCAATCATTCATTCTCATTCATTCATGCTCAGTTACATACCATTCACACACATACTACATAATAATATCCTACGAATAAATATGACGAAAGAAAATTACTGATTTATAAAAGTAAATAAACTTAAGTATTAAAGATTAAAAAATAGAATATAAGGTGTGTGGTATGGAAAAAATTTATAATCACAATTGAAAAGATTCTTGTGACTTTAGCATAATGCTGGTTTTGCATGCAATTTTTGGTTTTATTCTTCTTCGTACCTAGGGTGAATTTGTGAATATAATAAATGGACGAGGTCAAGAATAAAACCTACAAACCAACTAATAAGCATTAAAAGAACTTCCGTACTATCAATTTTTTAATTCTGTTTATAAGTTATTTTTCCATTTCATATCTTACATTCTAACTTAGCCTTTACTAATTAAGTTTATCTGGGTTTTACTAGTTAATCCAATTATATTTTGTATTAAACCTCTGTAAAACAAATTATGTTTGTTTTTTTACACAAATTATACAATATAACCATTGATAAAAATTAATAATGAGATATAAATTAAAAGGTAAATTTCAATAAACACAAATTTTTAACTGTATCCATACCAGTTATTGTATGATATTAATAAGTAGTTGTTATATACTGGGTGTATAAGCAAAAATAATGAAAAAATGTTATATAAACATTTTCCCTTAAATAATAGGCATATGAATTGGCATTTCGTCAACACAACGTAAGAACGTGTTATGAATATCTATTTTTGTTTACATAAACTGTTAAGTTTACTTGCTGAAGTAGTTTATACATATAGTTATTGATTTCTGCTGAGCTAATAATGTTTAGTATATTGTACGCTGTACGATTAAGATGCCGCCATAATTAACTTCATTTAACATTTAAAACATTTAAGAGAATATGTTTATACAACATTTTTGTTTTCTTTTGCTTGTAAAATATTCTGGCAAAGTTATACCAAAAAAACTTGCAAACTTTAGCCCTTCGTTATGCTTGACTACTAGTATAACGCAAGCTTATACCTAAGACATCCATCTCTGATCACAATTCGAGGTTATGGTGCAAAAACGTCAGAAACGCAAACAAAATATAAAAGCGTAATTTTATTTGTATGAAAATTAGTATATTTGGGCTTTTGAAGTTGCTGATTCCGACTCTGAAACCAGATCAAAGATTCAATTAACCGTTCATTAATAAATAAATGGTTTCATTCATAAAATAGTAAAGTTTTGGATATGCTATTAGCATATTAACATCTAATCAAACATAAATTATATTAAAAATTCAATTGTTTTTATCGTAACTTTATGGAATTACCAGGAATATGTAATAGATATGTTTATACATATATGTATATAGATATAGTTTTAATTTCTATGTATTAACAATAACAGGAGTATATATTAAAAATATATGAAAATATAATAAAAAATAGAACTAGATAGAACTTTCTATTATTGCCTCTTATCGTATAACATAATATAATTAGTTGAAGATTTTATAGTTAAAGAAATCGAACAATTTAGAACATAATATTTTTAATAAAAGTTCTACGATCGTTTGAAAACAAAATTTTAATTGACTATTGAAAAACTCTATCGTGATAACTAATAACATTGCAATATTATTGGAAAGAATGATAATATATTAATAATATACAATGTATTTCTTTGGTTGTTAGATTCAGAGTAATCTTTTGTGGCATCAATTTTCAGAAAATACATGAAAAAATATAATAATTTATTAAGGAAAGCATTCTATCTAAATGCATATGATGGATCAAACCGGGACTATGGGGATATATTTCTTATTGGATATAAAATGCAATTTTCTTTGTTTTTTATAAACATGTGCAAGATTTTCTTGTTAAATACTATTATAGACATATTCAGAAACACATTTTATGTGAAACTAGCATGTGATCTTGTGTAACATTTTTCGTCGAAATGATTTTTCTTTTTACAATTGTTTAAAAAAAAACGCTATTATCTTATCATTGAATCATAGAAGTATCATTTTCACTAAAAAAAAATGTTTCGAAGTGTAAAGATTAACGAAAATATCAACAAATTTTCTTTATACTTTAGATCATTTGAATCAATAAAAAGACTGAAACTATGATTCAACATTTTATTATAGTTTGAAGTATTATCAAATGATATTACGACTCATATAACCAGTTTTCGTTCCTTAAAAAAATTCGATTGAGCTGCATTTTGTCCGAGTTTTGGACGTTTTTGCACACTGGGATTTGCACACGACGTCACGTGGATAAAAACAGATCGATTAAAATAATCATCGACAACTTTGAAATCCGTGAACGAATAAAAATTGTTCGTACCATCAAAAAGCGAGCGGAACATTTAACTAGCTTACGCTAAGCGGGACATAGTGTACACATGCACGTGCAGTGAGCCACGTGCAAAGGGTTAATCTTTGAGGATCAGCGTTCAAAGCGAGAGCAAAAAGACCCTTAACAGCTTCTCGCGGACAAATTCGATCGATCCGTCTGCGTAAACAAGGCAAAAATAAAATTGTCAAGCACGGTGGTGTTCGTTGATCGCCTCGCAGGCAGCTCGGGATTTCCATGAAACCGCAGACGAGGGGCATTGCGTAATAGGCCTCCTTGAAGGTTAACCAATTTCAATCAACGTTCCATCGTGTAACGGCACCATGAAATTCCTCGCGTGATCTAGGATTCCAATTTCTCGACGTACCAGCGCATGTGGTCCTTCATGGATTCGGCAAAGCCGACGGTATTTACAACCAGCAACGTCGAGGGCGTGGAGCGAGTGATCAAGGGTAAAGGCAGCTACGCGTTCCTAATGGAATCCACTTCTATCGAATACGTAATCGAGAGGAACTGCGACCTGACTCAAGTTGGCGGTCTCTTGGACTCGAAAGGATATGGCATCGCAATGCCACCAAGTAAGTACTCACACATAGATATCGCCATTCGAATAAACACTGGCGTTCAATTGGCACATGGGATTTTCTTTCGATTAGCTATCGAATGACACAACGCACGTTCAATTTGCTTTGGGGGAACATTTGACCCTGTTATTCGACTATACCATTTCTATGAATTGTTGATATTCGTATATTTAAAATTTTGGAAATCTCCTGAACCGACAAACATTTTTTCCTACTAAACTTTTTTTTATCCTCGCCAATTTAAAAATGTCAAACGGTACAAACTTATGATAACAGAGAAATACGGGACCGAAGTTTCGCAGTTTCAAAAGTATAATTAATTTTTATTTCCCAAAAAGGGACATATTGAGTAAATAAGAATAACACAATGTGAAACTTACTTATTTTTTAGTTTTTTTTAATGGGACCTTTACTAATATATTTATAAGGTTTTTCTGATTAAAATAAGACCAAACACGATTTAACTTGACTCATATTTGCATATTTAATGAGCGACAATAAATCATTTTCATTCATACCGTACTAGAAGTAAGTTAAAAACAAATTATAAGTAAAAGTTTCATTTAAAGAGAAACAAAAATAAAAAAGTTTCATTTTTGCATTATTTACTATGTACAGTGCCAAATGAAAGTATTAACACAGGCAATGTTTTATATGATACGTATGCCGAACGTTTCGTTTCCTAATTTTTCCTTTCCACTTGCGTGCATTAGGAAAACGCCCTGCTACTTATTTACCCTTTGGAATGTAGAGTCAGTTCCCACGAGATGCAGCTGCTCGGTGACTAACGCGACTCGAAGATTACCAAACATGGTAATCTTCAACGTACCCCTGAATTCGCCCCCACAGAGTTTTGGGTATATAAATCCCGCGATCTCCTTACTCGGAGGATTAAAATCGCAACAGTTACGTTTAGAGTCAACATCACGTCTTGTTACGCTGTCTACGGTTTTGATAGTCAGTTGCATCTCGTGAGATCGGGCTACCGTACCCTTTCGTATCAAACTTAACCATATACAGGGTGTAAACGATAACTTTGGCAAAAATCATAGGGTAAGTAGAGGTACCATAGGCAAGTATTTTGAGCATGGGAACCCGTGTCCGGAAATGCACCAGTAAAGAATTACGGCGATCTTTAATTTTGGTCTTTCGCGCCTGATGGGTAGGCAAACTTTTTTTAGTTTATTGGTTCTTGACCATGATTTCATTAAATGTTTACGTTGTTCATCGTAAAACTTTCAATGTTTGTCATCTTTGTCACCTACACAACTGACCCACCTCAAAAGAAACAGTTTCCAGTACGATGGGTTTTCTATTCATCAGGCGCTAAAGACCGAAGTTAAAGATCGCCGTAATTTTTTACTGGTGCATTTCCGGACACGGGTTCCCATGCTTAAAATACTTGCCTATGGGGCCTCTGCTTACCCTATGATTTTTGCCAACGTTATCGTTTACACCCTGTAGAATCCGCGGGTCGGTATAAATTCTATTACGGCAATTATTTTCAATTATTTCCAGTGCGTCAGCACCGTGCATAATCTTTTAGATAATTATACTGTAGCGACTTTGTCGCCACCACGCCTTCGCTAGAATTGGTAATTTATTGTAGGGGCTTGTACGAGCCCGGTCAGGGAAACGGTCACTGGGGTTGGCCACGCGAAAGAGGCGCTTTTCCCACCAGTTTTTCGCGCCTATTTCTACAAAAATGGTATACGCGCTGTCCTTGTCTCGGGCCGGGTATACAGGGTGTCCTCGCTAAAGTGTGCAAGTCGCGGTACTTCAATAACTATTGATGATGCGAAAAAATTGTTTATATGAAAATTGCAGGATCAAATAGGATCTTTATTTTGGCGTAAACGAAAATTTCATTTATCTTATTAATTTCAAAGTTATGACGGTGAAGTTTCATTTTTTAAATAGAACTATATATTTTTTTTTGGATTATGCGATAGTGTTTTTCAAGACGAATTCATTAACCTGCAATTTATTTACTCGATTTTTATTAATTTTCAAGATATAACGTTTGGAAATTTACTGATTTTCAGTGGAGACGTCTCGGCTTGAGTGGCAAGTCATAAAAGCGGTTCTATTGTTACGCTGTTTGACTCCGCCTGTTGAAACCGATAGCAAGGGTCTACGCTCGGAATGGCAGGCCCGAAAAATAAGAAACATGGATAGTATTGTCCATCACGGTCTAAGTTTTCCGCATCGAGGATGGAGTCGTTAATAATGAGGTGATTGCGTGTGAGGATATGAATGGGTATTAAATGAAATCGCAAAGTTCGCCTTGTGCTTTTTATTACGAAGGTGTTACTCACTGGGTGTCGCGGCGAAGACTCACTTCCGTACAAAATCACTTTTTCCCTCGAACTCTTTGCAGTCGCCTAATTGGTTTAACCGATGCGTCGAAGTTAACCAATTAAGCATCTTGCAATTCAGAAGTCACCGCCTACTCCTTGCGCCCTTGACGCGCTTTTTGGGAAAGGCGATGTGACTCGGTGGGGGTAACTTTGTCGACGGAAGTTTAGCAATGCAGCGGAATTTCCTCCAGGTCCAGGCCTGGTGTTGTCAACCGCCAAGAGTCGCTTGACCTGGAGTTACAGCCCTTCGGAAATCCATGGTTTATGACATATGCAATATGCCACTGAGGCCGTTCGAAACCATCGACGAAAAACGTACCGGGTAATAAAACGCGTAAGAAACGGCTTTCTCAAAAGTGGCCTTTTCGATTTTGCTTGTCGTAAACCATGCTAGCATTTGCACGCCAAACGTTTCTTTTGTTGTGCGAGCTAGCCGCTACAATAATTTGGATGGTTAATACTTTCCATGTTACTGACTCTTCGGACCTGCCGTTCTGAGCGTAGACCCTTGCTATCGGTTTCAGCAGGCGAAGCTTTCGTTTCATTAATTCTATTAATAAAAATGTGAATTTGCATAAAGATCCGCAGTCTACTTCTAACCTAGCGGCTCCCTGATTCCTAGCGATTTTGCATCAGGTTCGTCCGCATCCTGCAGCTCCCTGATTCCGCATCAGGTTCGTCTTTTTTTTTTTCTTTTTTTTTGTACGTGGAGAAATCCTTATGGACACTTACCGGACTCTTACCGGCTAAAACCCCACGGTGACCACCCTCAGACGCTTGGCAGGGGACCGGGAACTCTACTGAGACATCACAGAGCCCCCCGCCGCGCCGTGCCTTTTCAGGCCCCTCCCGGTGAGAGGCCCCCGTTCCCCCGCATTACCCTTCAACTGCAGGCACCTGATCATCAGCGCCCGCGGCCCTGTGACATGGGACTCAGCCACCGGCCGCGTGTCCACGTTGGTCACTCGCAGCCAACTGGCCAACCTGCGGCCTTAGGTTAAACCCGCAGCAAATATCCCACGTCTCAGTTCACTCATACACACATTCACACACGCAACACATTCATATCGGTGTTTGGTCCGCGGGAGTTTTCGCTCCGACCTCCGGGATGCCATGGGTGGATGCAGCCACCAGCCTTCTCAGGTTGATGACCTCATCCCCGCATCCCATCCCAACGGCTTCCCCTAGCCACTACTTGGGGACGCGCCACGTAGGGATTCACCTCCCCTGCTGCCTGGACAACCAAGCGGGTGCGTGAACATGTGTTTAGACTATTATTTTTTTTTTTTATACGTAGGGAAATCCTCGTGGACACTTATCGGCTAAAACCCCACGATGGCCATGCTCAGGTGCCTGCGGGGGACCGAGAACTCTACTGAGACATCACAGAGCCCCCGTCGCGGGACATGTGTTTAGACTGGGCCGAGTGTAACTGTTCCCTTTGTATGATACACACTTGAAACCTTCAGTTTCACGACTCTTGTATTACGCCAAAAATAAAATTCTGAAATATTCTACGGACTTCCAACCATAAATTTATGGAAAAAGTTTTTTCAACTTTGTTACTGAGAAAACGACTACCCTCTTAATGTCATGACATTGAATGTCAGCAAATTTTCTATCGTGAAAACTGAAATGTTGGTCTGACATTTCAATTATAAATGTCCGCGTTACAATGTATTAGCATCTTGCTTTCTTTTTTTATTTGTTATTTTTGTATAAGTATTGTAACTTCTTTAGTAGCGTTAGAAGCCTCCAAAATCACGTCAATTAACACCATGTTATTTATTGATAAATGGCAGTCACAAAACTATTTAGTAGCTTAAACATTATGTTATGAAAAATGGACCTGTAGAATACTTGCTATTTTCAAAATTTACTTGGTTGTAAATTTTGAACTTTCAGCTACTTTTGTGAACTAACAATTATTTAATATTAGTTAAATTTACAGTCGAAGCTTCCACTGTGTCTCGTATACTTTTGAATAGATTCTCGTATTTACATATTTGTTTCAATTTATTGGATTCATGAGTACTTGATTAATTGTATTTCAACAAAAATCTTATAGTATTCCAATAGAAACTATAAACAAAATGAACGAGAAATATCAAATAAAACAAAATTAATGTTTTATTTATTTCTAGGTTTACGTGAAAATGAAAAAAGATTATTGGATGACAATTAGTTTCTCGACTAAAATAGTTTAAGTTACAAATAACAATTACAGTTTGTTCTTGTCAATATCATTATCCAACAAGGGAAAATTTCTCATAACAGTTATAGTAATGTTACTCATTTTACTTTACTTTTTCTTATTATAATCCGTTTCACATTACTAATATTAGATAGTAGTAATTCAAACCGAAAGTTGTGTGGTTGACAATCATAAAACGTAAAACAAAACATTTGGTTGATCGAATGCAATCGCAAAAATATTTCAACTAAAAAAAATTTTCCTTGTCATTAACTACTACGAACAAATTGAAACAAAATTTCAGACATTGTTTTTTTTATTAGTCATATTGTTTCGAAAAAAATTTGCTTTAAATTTTACGATTATTATCCTCAACTTAAGTAACAAGAAATTTCTTTTTTAATATTTTTCTATATATAGATCTCGGTAAAATCAATCGACCATTTTGATTTTGTTTATTACAAATGACTTCCAGTACACTGGTGGATGAAAATCAGATTTTAATAAAGCTTATAACGTCATCAAACGCTGATTTGTTTTTGGTATCGACGCGTGTCCTCGCTTTCGACAAATGTCCCCGAACTTTTGCAACAAGTCGTCGTTCCCATGTGCTTTTCCTTTAGCTCGTCCTATCGGCGGCACGTATCGGCGGAAAACTGAAAGCAATCGCACGAATCCGACGTCGCGTCGGTCGATCGGTCCCGCGAGGGCGCCGGCACGTAGAAACGATAACCCGGACGACACTTTTCCGAAAGTTTCGTGCACGATAAAAGTCGGTCGGAAAATGGACCGGGAGTTTCTCAAAACGACCTTGGATTTTCAGATTCGCCGTACAGGACGGCCATAAGCGGTGCAATTCTGAAGCTACAGGAAGAGGGGAAGCTGCACTTGCTGAAGACGCGCTGGTGGAAAGAGAAACGCGGCGGTGGATCCTGCAGGGTGAGCATACCGAGTTTTCCTTATTTTCGCCGAATTCGTTCCGTAGTAACAGCATAGTTCAGTGATTCTTAACCATATAATGTTCCCGATTTAACTCGAACATCACAGATCTCGAATCGAACAAACTAAACCATGCTCAGTGGGCTACAATAAGAAGGAGAACAACGAAAGCCGAATTATAAAATTTGGAATAGGTATTTCCAACATGTAATAGAAACTGTGTGTCAAAAAAATTAAAACAGTTGCACAAGTAGTTCTGACATTTTTCAGAATATTTTATGTAAATGTAGACGCTTTAACCTTAGAATTAGTGAAACGACACGAACACCAAACAAACGCAAACGTCCAAGCGATGGAACAGATGGAACGTCAATATTAGCAGTCGATGAATAGAAACAGAACTATTCGTCTGCTGCTACGACATTTTGTTAAATATGAATGCACTTTGATGGCTTGTGAATATTTCAAAAGATATCAAGCTAGATTCAATTTTAAATATTAGGTTCGTGTGCTAAAACCGTGAATATAAACTAAAATTCATCAATGAATATTGTACAATTAAGAAATCAGATAAAAAAAAATTATATTAGGTGATAAAACGTATTTATGTAGGTAACGAAACATTTTTGTTGATATAACAATTATATTATCTATTTTTTTAATTAATATGTGAACAGAAACACATAATATAATTCACACATAATAATAATTAACAACAACATCAATGGTTTCTAATATTTTCAAGTTCACGGCACAGTTCAGAGGAATATTTTTAACTTTGTTAGACTTAAGGCACAACTTACAGCTTTGATGATCTTGATCTTGACCTTGATATGTATATAAAAATTAAAAATATTCCCCTAAACTATGCCGTGAACTTGAAAATATTAGGAACCATTGATGTAGTCGATAAATGAGTTCTTAAAATTTTTATCTTTTCCACTTATACATACCGGGTGTTCGGGCATCCATGGAAAAAATTTTAATGGGAGATTCTAGAGACCAAAATAAGACAAAAATCAAGAATACCAATTTGTTAATTGAGGCTTCGTTAAAAAGTTATTAACGTTTAAAGTTCCGCCTGTAGAACGGCAATCTGCGAACAGCTGCATGAATACGATAGTGGTTCTCACTTATCATGCGTACACAGCTGTTCGCAGATTGCCTTTCTACAAGCCGAACTATAAGCGTTAATAACTTTTAACTGAAGCCTCAATTGAAAATTCTTGATTTTCATTTTATTTTTGCCTCTAGAATCTCCCATTAAAATCTTTCCCAGGGGTGGTCGAACACCCTGTATAGTAATGATTCTTAAAATGAACCCCAGGCGTGATTCGCAAATTGAACATTTCTATCCCTCCCAAGTGGGGGATCCTCCTTGAAGCAAGTAAAACGTGAGAAATGAAAATGCAAATTAGGGTACAGATACAATTTTCTGAAGCGATTTTATTATCTCGCTTTCTTACATTTAGTCATTTTAAATTACTACTTTAATATAAATTTTATAATGCTCTTATGAAATTAAAATAAATATGCAATAATCAAAATTGATAAGCGCATTAGAATCGAAGGACTCGTGGACAATATTACAAAAAAGTTGGAATGGTATTAATGAAAAAAATTTTTTAAAATAATTGTTGATAAAATTTTCCCATTAATTAGAATTATCGACGTAAAACAAAAATTTTGAATTGTTAGCTCACATTTTGATAAATAATTACATTTTATAATTTACATTGCTTCAGTGTTAAGGGGGGACCTCATTATTAAGCCGATTTTCAAGAATTATTTCGAAGGATAAAGAATTAATAAATATTTGTAAGGTTTTGAGGACTATTTAGAATATACTTCAATTTCATTTTACAATTTTTTTTGTTCAAATAAAAACGTCTTCTAAAAAGACGTCTTCTAAAACGGTGTACACTCTAGTGTCGGTTTTTATTATACGAATATGCTAAGCAACGAAATATGATTAGTATATAACAATAGTAAATGGATGAACCGAAGATATTGAAAGAAAATTAAAAATTGGAAAAATGGCAGACCTCAGAGCAAATGCTTAATATTTCAAAGACTTGTATTCGTTTTTGCATTAAAAATGATGTTTATTTCCGTGATTTTAACTTACTTTTAAGTTCATCCATGAGACATTGCTACCATTAAAATGTGTATTAAATTTCAATCGGATAAGTTGAGTAGTTTTTGAGTAATCGTGTCACCGATTTTGAACTTAGCGAAAAAATAAGTTTCGAGTAAATCGCGTTTAAAGTTTCGGCAAGAGAAATATGTATGATTTTGTGGCTTTCTGGCTAATCTGCTATTCCAGCACCGTATAATAATCCTTTTGCTTCCTGAAAATAGTCATTTTGCTCACGCTGCACGAAAGAACAAATACAAGTCTTCTTTGAAATATTAAGCTTTTTGCTCTGATGTCTGCCATTTTTCCAATTTTTAATTTTCTTTCAATATTTTCGGTTCATCCATTTACTATTGTTATATACTAATCATATTTCGTTGCTTAGCAGATTCGGATAATAAAAACCGACACTAGAGTGAACACAGTTTTAGAAGACGTCTTGCGACGCTTCTAGCATATCATGCTGTATCTTCGCCATTTTGCATTCTATTCGAACAAATAAAATTGCAAAATGAAATTGAAGTATATTCTAAATAGTCCTCAAAACCTTACAAATATTTATTAATTCTTTATCCTTCGAAATAATTCTTGAAAATCGGTTTAATTTCGGATTTCTACATACAGGTCCCCCTTTAATTAATTTTTATTCTACGTACGTGAAGTGTCTGGTGACTTATGGACGGGAATTTATATATTCTCTACAAAATTCAAGCAAAACGTTTTTATTTCAAACATGTTTTAGCATATAGCCAACAGTTTCCAAGCTATTTTAATAAGTCGATTTGAATGGATCAATCTGTATATTCAAAGTGAAGCGAACTGATATTTCGCGGCTCGAATAATTTCTTTCTTATTTTTCCTGAAAAAAAAAAGAATCAATTTTAAAATTCTTTCTTCTCTTGCCAGGACGAAACATTGAAGAGCAGCTCGACGGCGAACGAGCTTGGCCTCGCAAATGTCGGTGGTGTGTTCGTGGTTCTGATGGGCGGGATGGGCATCGCTTGCGTGATAGCAGTATGCGAGTTCGTCTGGAAAAGCCGAAAGGTGGCCATCGAGGAACGGGTGAGTGAGGTCAGATAGCACGTTGAAGAAGGCGTAATCGCGCCTGAAGTAACGTCGTCCAACACGCACCTCGATCCCGACGCGATTTATCCCGACATACCGCGCGAATACATCAGTTGATGTTCGCGCGATGGTGGAGTTCCTCTTTAATGGTCACGGTGCAAATACAAAACCACTCGGGTCTGATCGTTCTACCGTCCAATCGATGAGTCATGTACCACGAAAGACTCGCGGAAAGAAAACTTATCAAAGCGTGGAGTATCCTTATTCTTAGATGGGTTTTTCGAAGTCGTTTAGTCGTTAGAAGACGCTTCGGATGGAAGAGATCGCGAGGTTTGTGCTAAGTTTACTATCTACGTTCATTTATATACAGAGAGTTTCATAGCATGTAGCATCTGTAATATTGTGGTTAGTTAAATTATTAGTTACATATGCTAGAAGTACATTCTTATCCATTTATAGCTACTTAATTATTTTATAAACTGTTACGCGTATTCTTAGATAAAGGAGGCGTTGTTTTGTAATTAAAAAGAAAATTTCGTATATTAAACAAAATTTATTTAGAAAGAAACAGAATTATATAGTTTTAGAGAAGTATATTAGTATTTATAAGAACCTCTCTTGGCGTCGTTTTCAATTCTTTAAATCTTAGTTATGTCTTCTATAAGATTTGTTTTGTTTGTGATGGTTTTGTTAATGATTTTACGTTTTAGAAGCTTAAGGATTCCATCTCATCGAGAATGTCAGCTTTATCAACTTTAAAATGTACTTTTAACATGTATAACTAGTAATTTTCTACCAATTGTAGCTTTTTACCGTTATATGTAGGGAATTCTTGAATTGGCTGCCTTTAATCTACATACAAGCATACAAGCAATTGTTTTTACGTGGTACTACAAAACAAAAAATCATGGATTTAAATTTCGGGACAAACTGGCAAGTTTATATCTCTATATCTGTTAAAAAATCATTCATATAAAAGGGTGTCCTTTTTGACACTGAAAAAATTTATTTTCCTATTTTCTATTTCCTTATAGCCTAACCTTACAAATTTTATTTAAATTCATAAACATAATGTAGCTACGAGCGTCCTACCTCATGTTTATTGAAAATGGCAACAGGGTAATTTTCAAACTTTGTTCAAAGTAAAACTACCTATACGGCGAAGAAATTAGTATTATGGACAATAATGTAAAATTAGTATTACGAACAAGTAATGAAAAATGACAAAATAGAAATTCTGTTGCATCTACTTCTTACTTTAACACCTTCACTGCCAAATCAAACCCGTACAATATTCTGCAAAAGTATAATTTTGATTTTAGACCATTGTAAGCTACATAACCTAGAATTTTGTTCAGTATTTATTTGTGCAACCTTATTATAATTTACTCATTCTATCCAAAATTTCCCACAACGTCTTAACGTGAGAATTAATTTTTCTAATCTTATAGTGATAAATCCTGTCATCCATATGTGGGTGACGTGACAGTGAAAGTGTTAAACGTGTTTTTCTTTAAACTATAATTTTTGATAAGGTTGACATGATTTAGCAAAATCTAATAAACGGGTCGACATGAAACTTAATTTACATATAAAATAGTTGTCGCCTTTATTGCTGAAACTTCGAAAAATTTGATACACTTTCAAAACAAGTTATTTTCTAAAGCATTAAAATTGCGAATTTGTATGAAAAGATCGATACATTGACTTCAAAACGCTGTCATTTTGTCAACTTTTACGCTTTATGACTTCTTCTAGTTTGAATTATAACGAGATATACTCATACAGTTCAATAATTTCTTTCATTTTTCGGATTTGGACCACTATTGGTGTTGAAATTATGTCAACCTCGAGGTTACTTGTTTTTACAACTATTGCGTAAACAGCTTATTTCTTTGAAAATATTACATATTTTCGTCTGGAAATATTCACGCAATTTGGCAGAGTAAATTCTGATGCATATACAGAGTAGCGTGTTCAGCCTTGGGAAAAATTTGAATGAGAAATTCTAAAGGCCAAAATAAAACGAAAATCAAGAATATCAATTTCTTATCAATTAAATTAAAAAATTTCAAATAATTCTGAAAAAATTATTTTCGGTTGTGGGGGTCAATTGCAATTATTTTTGGTGAATACACATACCTCCGAAATCCTACGCACTTTTGAGAAAAAAATGAAAATAAAAAAAAATCTACCTAAAGGACTTATTGAACGACCCTCGTATCTAAATATGTAATCACGTTCCTAATGGGAATCCTTAAAAACTGTTTGGCTGTAACAGACAGCTGCATTTAATGGAACTTCTTCCAATAATTCATATAGTTGATTACTCAAGAAATTTACAATAAAATCATCTTGTTAATCTTACATCAAGGAAAACAAAGAGTTATTGAATACAGTGCATTGTGGTTAATAATATTTGTAATCTAAAAATAGCTGTAACTCGGGGACAACGTCAAATGAGGCGCATTTTTCATAAAATTTATATCCCCCATCGACCGCTAAACTAGATATCAATTGTTATGGAACGCCCTGTATTATCTCTTTGTTTTGTCTCTTGCTTTTTCACTCGAGTCGAAAAGGTATAGATTACTAAAAGTGAAGAAAATATGTTGGAAAAATATCTCTGTTTCCTCGAATGTTTTACAATAATTATTCGTTGCTTTAGGTAGCAGTGTTTCCAAATACGAATATGGTCACGTTGGTCATTTTTGCTCGTATTTTTCCCTATAGTTCCTTTTCTATTTTCATTCTTTTGTCATTTCTCGACTCGTATTATGGTCAAATGATACAATGAGTAACAGACGTTTTATAACAAGAAAGAAACTTGCGAGAAAACATCACACAATGTTATTTGTAATTTAATACAGCGCATTGTAGCTTGGACATAGTGTCGGGATGTTGTTTTTAATTATTACGATGGATTCGCGATCGAAAAATATCAATTATTATGTATCGTTGAGAGCTGGAAAACGAAACAACAGAGTGCATTCGATTATTACGAATCGAACACGCAATTTTATTTGTTAGAAAAGAAGAATTCAATTAGACCGACTGGTCGCCGCAGTATTGCGTGGCCAATCTGCACTGTAATTCCGTTATATGAATAATTTCTGTTTTTCCTGAAGTAGTTGGAATTTTAAATGCCCGAAATTTAATTTCTGAATTTTGTTGGCCTCGCAATCCTCCCACATCCACATCTCAGCCAGAATATTTCCAATACATAAAAAGATAATTCCTGTAAAAGATTAACTCGATCGGATAACGCAAAAAAGATTTATGTATAAAACAAAAATTATATTCATTTCACATTAAAATACATTAATTAAATACAGCCAACCCTCGTACAACACAGGAAGTATCTTGTACTTCTGCAATATGATTTTATTCTAATAGTTTTAATAAACATGCCATCTACTATAATTGTCAAACAAAATAATAGTTTTATTATTCGTTGGAATCTACTTTTGCTTCTTAGAGAAACTTCTTAGTAATTTTTAATTCGGTATAACACAGCATTTTTTAAAAACGGAATTAACGTGTTGCATATTTAAAGGTTGATTGCAACATATTTTTATTTAATATAATACCAGATTGATTTAAATATGTGTATATGCATATTTTAAATACATTTGGGATCCTGTTAAATAAAAATAAATTAATTGACTTCCATTCTAACTCGAGACGTGGCTTGCAGAAAATATTATTTTATTTTATTCAGTCCACAGACAAAAAACTACTGATAGTTCTATTCCATTTCGAAAGCATTGAATATCGAAGATCAAAGAAACACTTGTGACCAGTTTTTCGACCATGGCGGGATAATTTTGTACCACACGTTGCACGTGTTGGAATGCGATCTAACGGTACATAGCTACCGGTGGTGTAAACTGTACGAAACGAACAAGAAACGTTTAATTACAAAAAGAGAACGCGAAAAGCGAAACGTTCGTGAACGAAAATTCCTTGGCGAAATGAAATTAAGGCACGGTGGATGGCGAAACGCAGCCCTCGGTTAGCCTCGCGCGGGGACTCGCGTGTCTACAATATGTGTTCGGGCTACCGTTTGCGTACATTCGAGGGATAAGCAAACAGGCAAGTATTTGTAAAGGACTCGCCCACATATACGGATATGCGGCTTTGCGACGGCGACCTCGTGTACTCGAGAGCAAACAATTCCACGAGCCAACAAACGTCAGTATCACTGCTCCCCTTCAGACTGCAACAGAATAGCCGCGATACTACCTCGAATCTTAAACTGCAAATCGTTCTAGTCCCATAAAGGCTTGGGTTGAAAATCATGATACAGACAAGAACAGTCTGACTTTTCAAGGAAAGGTGATATAAAATTCAAATGGAATCAAAACGAAGCATTAAAAAGTCGTTTAATTTTTAACACTCAGCACTCGGATGTCTCATCTGAGGGGGTATATAGAGATTATTGATGATTATAGGACAAAATTATGTAATCGGAAAATTAAAAGAAAATATATGATTCATTCACGTTGCACTAAAGAACAAATAAAAAAAATGAGAAATGTTCCTAAATGCAGGGTGTTCGGCCACCCCTGAGAGAAATTTTAATGGGAGATTCTAGAGGAAAATCAAGAATATCAATTTCTTGACTGAGGCTTCGTTAAAAAGTTATTAAAAAATTAAATTAAAAAATTTCAAATCATTCTGAAAAAATTATTTTTGTTTGCGGGGCTCAATTACAAGCATTTTTGGTGAATAGACGTACCCCGGAAATCCTACCCACTTTCTAGAAAAAAATTCAGTACGGGCGGAACTTTAAACGTTAATAACTTTTTATCGAAGCCTCCATCAACAAATTAGTATTCTTGATTTTCGTCTTGTTTTGGCCTCTAGAATGTCCCATTAAAATTGTTCCCATGGGTGGCCGAACACCCTGTATACGTAAGAGAATATCGCAGATTGTAAAATAAGAGATTATACATAAAGAGTAACTTTCTTTTCAAATTGGGTATACTATTTGT